TTTTTATGAGAAATATTAAGATCACATTTTTTCTCTGAATTCTCAACGAATGTGAGGTGTTTAGATTTAGATTTAGTAACTGTACTTAAATTTAATGGATTAATTGTTGCAACATTAAAATGTGCTTTTCTGACGCTGGTGAAAGTGCAGTTTTGTAAATGTGCTTCTTAAAGTATTGAAATACTAATTAACTTGTAAGGTTGTATTTTAACAGTAACAAGAGATAGGATTACTACTTAATAACGTGTAGCTCGTCTCTGACTGCTCCGTAAATTCCCCTGCAATTCAAAAGCGCACGTTTTGATTGTTTTCCATTCGACCCATAAATGTATAAAATGTATAATGAACTCATTTTATATTTTTTTATTCTGCAGATCTTGGCCGTGCCATGTGGACAGCCATGGAACAGCCCTAGCTACGAAAGCTAGATAATTACAATGTCGATGATGTATATAATAATAATAATGTTAACGATGATAATCATAGTTATAATGCAAATGATTATAATAACAATTATAGTATTAATAATGATGATAATCGTGAACAATATCAATAACAGTAATAATGATAATGATAGTAATGAAAATAATTACATTAATAGCAAGGCTCTAACTGAAAAGAGAAGAAAATAGCAAGAAAGAGGTAGCATTCTTCGTACTGAAGCTGAAATAAGAGTGCAGAGTGAAAGTTGATGGGCATAAAACATGATATTCATTGTGATAGGGATGATAACTACATTAGAAATATGTTGAAGTAAGCATGTTAAATACAAAACAAATATTCAAATGTAACACATCAGAGATCACGTTTGTAATAAAAAGATAATAAAAAAATACTTAGGTAGACAAAATGGTAATAATAGGGATGATGATAGTAGAAATAACGATGATGATAATGGTAATATAAACAGTAATGATGAAAATATGAATGCTACTGTAGTGATCGTATTTTTTTAAGTGATTCACTCCATCTTTTAGCTAAGTGCCCTCTCTTGGCCTAGTGCGCCACTACAAGGAGGAAGGGTTACATTAGCCCGTTTTATAACAGTTGATTATTTCATGGGGTTTGGGTTCATTTAGCAGTTGATTTTAATTTGCATGTATGTACATATTACTACTATATGTGTCTTTAGTTCACGATTTTAACCTTTCGTTTCTTTCATTTCTATATTTCTTATCTGTGCTTCTGTGTACATTTTTTTTTTTTTTTTTAGAATAGGATTTTGACATTCAAATATATTCAAGAGTAAAATCTATCATACAGGCTGGATAATAGAAATCAAAACGCCTTAACATGGAACGAGTGGTTAAGCAATCGCCGTGTTTGTTTTCCTCCCGCTCGCAATTTTGTCTTCGTCCAAGAACCAGATTTTTCCGGGGAACTAGAGAGGGAGATCAGGAAGAAGAGGCGCTGGAATCGACTCTGTTTCCGAGCTGCAAGATCCACCGAGCTTAATGAAAAGTTAAGTTTTTTTTCTAGAAATTAAAGGCAAGAATTATATGATGGAAAATTCAGTGTTGTGTGTGGTCTTTGAATTCATTTTGTTGGACTTTTTTGCGCGTGTTTTCTTATCTCTTGTTTCGTTTCTAAGTTCTTGTGTTTGTTTGTTTTTTATGTTTTTTTTTCCTACCTTTTTACTGTATTTTTATTTTATGTTTCGGTTCTTCGCTTTTAGGTAAATTCTTTTGCTTTCATCCCTAGATTTTACCAATTCTTGTCTTATTGTATTCATACTTTTGTTTCGTTTTCTTTCTTTTTTTATAAATGTAAAGGTATTACGTTTCTTTTACTGCCCACTAAAAAATAAATAGATAAACTAATAAAAATAAAAATAAAAAGATAAAGAAATTACCAAACTTTGATATAAATGATGATGATGATAAAGATAATAATCGTTATCATTATTATAATTATAGTTAGTCATCATTATGATTAGTAGTATTATTACTGATGATGATAATGATAATGATAATAACAATAATGATTATGATAAACATTTCTATAGTAATAATAATAGCAATAATGATGATGATAATGGTAATAGTAATAATGATGGTAATGATAATGATAATGATAATAACAATAATGCTGCTAGTGTTGATGCTGACGATATTGATGATAACACAAACACAGCAATAAGGATACTCGTAACAAATCTTAAGCAAAAGCAACACATGTTTTCTTTCAGGAGGACATATATAACGAGTCATTTTCCAACCCGCCGGACGACCTCTCTTGACCTACATCCTTGCCTGGGGGGGGGGGGGGGGGGGCGTGTGTGTGTGTGTGTGTGTGTGTGTGTGTGGGTGGGTGGGTGGGTGGGTGGGTGTGTGTGTGTGGGTGGGTGGGTGTGTTTGTGCGCAGTATGTGTGTGTGTGGGGGGGGGGGGGGGGGGGGGGGGGTGGGGGTGAGTGTGTGTGTGGGGGGGGGGGGGGTAACTGTGTCTACCTGTGTATGTGTGTTATTGCATTCAATCTTTCAAGATCAAATATCTATACTG